TAAAATGTATTCGCGCTTAGTGTAGAAAAAAGAAATTTGTTTGAATATTTACACATTATGTGCTACATGAGGATATTCAGCAATACAGATGAAGTAAAGTTTTGCATTGAGGACATTTAAATGGTGCTACCGTAGTAAAAAGGGAATATGTGGTAGAAAAAAGTCAAATTCATCATTAGTAGGTCATTAGAATTGAAAAGATATTTCCAAGAGAGCAATTCTAATTCTGGTGATGAACAATATACACGAGCTTTATAAGTAAGGAAATATGAAACAGCACATTACTGTGGTGCTGTAGAGCTAAAAATAGTCTGACAAAGTCTCGTATTTGGTTCATCCCATAAATAGCCAGTGCATCACTTTTGAGTGCATGTTAACAAGACAACACCTTACTATATGCACCAGATGGATTAGTAATAGAGGTGTTGTATCCTAGTCATGATGAGCACTGTTAAAACTAAATCAACTTTTATAGAATAAGTGCGATAGTAGAATACTTAAAATCAATCTCTAGTTTCTAGTGCACTGTACTTACTATTATCTTTCAACCAAATTAAAAATTCATGAATTTGCTCCAGAATAGCCAACCCTAAATTTTGTATATCGAATAACATTTCTGTTCAATACTTACAAGCAGAATTGAAATTCTATTATCAGAGGTTGCCATCTAATATTGAGGGACATAAAGAGCATAAATCACTAAAGACTGAATACTTATCAACCATTAAAGTATCCATCGCTCTAACTAGAGGAAGTTTAGCACGGAGCTACATTTCAATAAATAGTAGAAGCATTTGTAGAAATATTAAAAATTCCAATCATCAAAGTACAGATATAATTGTCATTTACTAAATGGATACAGTAACAATGACAGGTAGTGGAATACTATGCCATTAGAACACCACATTTTATTTTTAAATACTGGATGAGCATCCTATTAACATGATGTCCGAATCTTTTAATGGAGATAAATAACTATAGCAAGGTTTACAATCTTCTTGTGCTTATGCATTAAGTTGCAGGTATCGATAATCATATTTGATTACCATTTAACAAAGGAACACATCTTTAACGATGATCTGAAAATCATATTACATACAAAAATTTAGGATCTCACTCTAATTAACAACCCTTACAAGACAAAAATTCTATATAACTTTTACATTAAAAGAAAAAACACAATTGAATACTGCATTTAACATTTAAAGAACTATTGATGCAGTTTTCAAACATTTTTTATTAAGATTTTTATTTCAATAATTCTCTTTCTTAATAATTAAAATTGATCTTATGATTGAACAATTGTTTTAAATAGTCATTTCTAACTCAATTACAACATTATATATTGTTGACCCTTAAGCGTATGTAGATTCCTAGCGTACCCTAAACTATTAGGAACTTGATTGGAAATATACTATTAATTAATCTGGCATTCTTTTATGAGTATTTTTAAGTCAATTATAGTTTAGGTTAAACGATTAATCCAAACTTTTATTGACAATGCCTATGTAGAAAATTTTAATTACACAAATTAAATCGTTTGTCATTATTACCTCCCCAATGATAATGACGCTACGGTCGCAACTCCTATCTTGAAATTAGCATTTTTGTAACAGCACTAACCATATTACTATCGCAACATAAAGGATTACGGTTAGATAATAAAATCCCAAGCCCTTATAAGTAAATTTTTTAGAAGTGATAATTTGAGGTTAGTGAATATTCCTTAAGAGACAACTTTAAAAATTCAACTTGGATTAGAGCACAACAGTTAAAATAACAAAAATAAATAATGAGAAATCTTTATAAATAGTAGAGTTGTAAAAAAAGAGCTTTCATTTGATCAATAAGTAATTAAAATTAAATATTGCGATTATTTTCATGTGAATAATATTAATCATTAATTTTATTATTACGGTTCTGCCAAAATTGAGTTTAATCCACACATAATTAAATTTCATCAATAGCAGTCAGATATACAAAAAATTATGGAAATTCTATAATCTATTCTTTTGTTTATATTTTTTATATCAATATCTTTTTTGTTTCTGTGTAAGTGTTGGTAAGAAGAATCTATGTTACAGAATTTATGTTCCTTAACAATTTCCAGAAGATTCAAAGTC